TGTATTACAGCAAATAGCACGATTTGTTCACCAAAACAAGGTTACAGGTAAGTACAGGATTGAAATTAGAGGTAAAACACAGGCGCTGAGTCACTGTTGAGGACATCTGTTGCTGTTACTGAACAGTATGCATGGTGGAGAATAATGTCTGCCGACGTACCAAGATCAATTTGGTGTGTTTTCTCCACCTTATAGGACATGATGAGCTCTCCTGCGGTGCTCTTTTGTTTCCTCCTCGTCGTGAGTGAAAGCCTTACAGCAAGCAACAAGCCCCGCAGGAGCGTTTCCTTCCAAGGTTAGGCGTCCAAATGTAGACGTACAGATGGCAACACGGAGAGACGCAACACAGCTGGAACAACACTATGGCCTGCAGTAATCTGCTACAGTAAATCTACTGTATATGCAGACATCATGCTGTAGATGACACTGTATTTAGACAGTGTGGTTAAACACATTAGACTACAGTACGTTCCAACAGGAGCTACTGTAAATACATTCAGCAAAGTGTAAACCTTAATGTACAGCAGCTTAAAAACGCATTTGGACACTGAAGCTATGCTGAAAATGTGTTTTTCTATTTATTAGGTATCAAAATGTCAAGGGGGAACAACATTTTTTGTAAAGAAACAAGCACAAGGTTAAACAAAAAACCTTGATTTGAGGAAACATTAAGATGTATAGTTCAAACTGCAAACTATTTGGACAGTTGTTTTAGTAAAGCATCATTAAGCATGAAGAACTGCTGGACACCTGGGCACAGGGTCAACCAGTTTAAACTTGCTCTTTGTTAGGAGTTGACTCCTAAGTTGCAGGAAGTGGACCCAATTAATGCGACAAGGGAGGCGGGTTGTAAAAAGAGGGTTTTTTAATGGGGGGAAGGAGTGAGGACACCAAGGAAGCAGAAGTGCCGGTGCATGCTGGACTTCGTGGGGAGAGGTGAGAGGGCTTAGGGTGCTCCAGTGGAGTGCTCCAGTGCTCAGGGGAGTGAATCCGTGTTCCGGGGACAGTGGATCTCGTGACGGCTGGGATCCAGTCGGGGGAAACCTGGAGATCTGCTGCTGGTGGTGGTTTTCTCATAGTGGCTGGGCAGGAGAGTCGTCAGGTTGAGGAGGCTCTGCAGAGGATGCAGACACGAAAAAACGTCAGTGTAGAACTGACAGACAACAAACGCGAGAACTCGAAATTAAGCGTCGCCGATCTACCGCTCGTTGGGGAGTTCTCGCACCGCATCACGGGGAGAAGCCAGCTTAAAAGCAGCACTGATGTGATGCGGGGCAGGTGTGGTGGATAATGAGCGAGTCCTCCTCCACCGTGGCCTCGCCCAGCCTGAAAGTGCAAAGCACATCAGAACTAAAACACAGGAAATGCAACCAAAATAAAAGCACAAGACCAGAATCCCAACACTCTTTGTGCTAAGAAAGCTTTAGTTCATCCAACATTTTGTTGTCAGTGGTGCTCTGCAGGATTTAGGTCAGCGCTCTGGCAGAACTATTGTAACACTTTGCTTTTCTCTCTGTATGATATTATTTTCTTCTCTACAAGCATCTTCTTTGTTGATCAGCATCCTGCTCTAGGTTTGCTTGAACACACTTTTGGCTCATTTCTTTCAGTTTGCATCCAGGATTCCTTCACAGTTCATGATTCCAGATATAAACACAAGCTCCCCTCCATCATCTTCCTCACTGCACCATAACCTTAGTACAGTCCTCTGCTTTTCTCACACAGACTGTCAGTCATCATGTAGGTCCAAATCTAAAGTCAGGCAGAAACAATCTCCACAACCTTATGTCTTTCTGTTTATACTCTTCAGTAAATTGAATGCCAGCTGTCTTGTTGTTTGAGCTATGACAGATTCCCGTTGTATCACTCTCCCTCCCACACTTGTTGATGCATTTTTAAAGTGCTCTGTGAACTGACTTGTATCTGGTAATTCTCATTAGTTGCTGAAGTGACCCTTCGTGCCTGGTTTTTATTCGCAACTACGTGGTACGATCTGAGCTTCAACTCAACTGTTGAGGATGAAACATTCCTTAAATTACAATATAGGAACATGATCAACAGGATTAAGGTCAAGAATTGAGTAAATGAATGCAAAAAAAGAAGCACAGACTTCTATATTCATACCATGAAAGTGAAATCCTGAACAGGCTTTGCAGTTCAGAAGAGTACATCGAACTGAGCAGTATTAAAATGCAAGGATTTAAAAGTAACCTCCAGCTCCTCGTCCCTTTATCTGCCCCAGACGTGAACTTGAAACTGTTCAAAGAGTCCGGCTTTGGTAGTTTGAGCTCTTTGATGGTGAGAGACGACATTGATCAGCTTGTCCTCGGAGCCAAAGGGAGAGTGATCGCCCTCAGTTTGGATGACATCACCAGAAAGACCAGTGAGGTAACAGCTGTGGTTTGGCTGGCAGCTGTGACGTAGCTCTTTAATTCATATACAAGGGATTCATCTTTGCATTTTCACGTACTCAAACCCTTAAAACACGAGGGCGTCTTCTTTCATCCCCTAATTATTTTATCTTCCAGGACAATTGGACAGTCAGCTCAGCAGACAAAGCCCTCTGTCAGATGAAGGGCAAGAGCACTGAGGTAAAGTAGGGAGTGAATAATGAGAGCAGCCTTTTACATCCACACACAGCTTACAGTTTGAGTTTTATTCCCTTTAATCACTTCTTCCCATAGGAATGTGATAACGTCATCAGGACCCTGCACACAATGAGCGACGGTAAAATGCTCGTGTGCGGAACAAACGCTTTCAACCCAGCGTGTGACCACATGGTAAGTTTTGCGTGGAGCTTCCAAAGACAAACGTTGCGTTGAGTTTTAATTTCAGGGGGAACAAACGTCAAGCTTCAGGAATAGTTTACCGTTTAATGAGATACATGCTTAGACAAAAACACTGAGACCATGCTCATCTCTGTCTGTTAAATATACAGCTTAAACCAACAGGTAGTTAGCTTAGCTTAGCATCCATTATCTATACACCGCTTAATCCTCACTAGGGTTGTAGGGGGCTGGAGTCTATCCCAGCTGACTTAGGATGAAGGCAGGGGACACCCTGGACAGGTCACCAGTCTATCACAGGGCTACACTTAGAGACAGACAACCAAGAACACTCACATTCACACCTACGGACAATTTAGAATCACCAATTAACCTCAACATGTTTTTGAACTGTGTGAGGAAGCTGGAGAACCTGGAGAGAACCCACGCTGCACAGGGAGAACATGCAGAAAGATCCCGGTGCCCCCATTGGGACGCGAACCGGTGACCTTCTTGCTGCGAGGCAACAGTGCTACCAACTGTGTCACCTTGCAGCCCGCTTAGCTTAGCATAAAAACTTAAAACAGATATTGCAGTTAGTGAGCTTTTGAGATGATGGCAGATGGATTCGGTTACTCTGAGACTGAGCTCATTAGCTGTTCAACCCTTTTTGACATGAAGCTAAGATGAGCTAAGCATACTAATCATATAGATTAGAGAGTGTTCTCAATTTTCTCACATTACTGTCAGCATGAAAGTGAATAAGTCTGTTTTGCTGAACTATTGCTTTGATATAAAAAAATCGAAAGATGATGAATAAGCACAAATGCCTCCGTCAACAGACTTTCACAGATGGAAAGGTCTCCTTGGAAAGAAAACCACAGGAAGGAAGAGGGAAGGTTCCTTTTGATCCCTACCAGCGCTTTGCCTCCCTTATGGACGGTGAGTCGACACCAGTTTACAGATTCTGTCATTTCTAAAAGCTTCCTTTTGGTTTGTAGTTTTGAACTAATGTTTTCTTTCCACTCACCAGGAAACACTTTGTACTCTGCCACTTCCTCAAACTTTCTGGGCACTGCGATGGTGTTCCAGAGACATGGACCGAACCCCGTCAAGACTGAAATGAAACGTTCCTGGCTGAATGGTAAGCTGATCTGACATGTAACCAAACTATCCATCATAAGGTGTCACTTTCATGAGACGGCTCTTCATACCTCCACCTGTTGACAACCCTGTGATCTCCCATTTATAACGATTTCTTTTCAGAGCCCACCATGATTTCCGTTCGCCTCGTCGAAGCAAGCAACAACAGCGACAACGGTGAAGACGACAGCGTGTTCTTGTTCTTCACCGAAGCTGCTGTGGAGGAACGTCGTGGTAACATCCAGGTGTCACGGATCGGCCGCGTGTGCAAGGTTTGCCTTCTGAAGTCATCTGAAGGTTTCATTTGGCTGTCTCTGTGAATCAACCTTAAATTAAAACATGTGGGTTGTTTTAGAGTGACTTGGGGGGCAAAAGGACCCTGCAGAAAAGGTGGACCTCTTTTTTGAAAGCCCGGCTGGACTGTCCATTCGGCGATGCGGGCTCACAGCCCCTAGTCCAAGACGTCTTTCTTCTTCAAGACCAAAATAACTGGAGGGGCAGCATCTTCTACGCCACGTTCACCTCCAACTCGTAAGGTCCACGTACCCACAGCTGGGGCCTCATTACTCTGTATGTACATCACTGTGAAACACAATAAAAGCAAACATTTATGGAGGTGAGCGAAAACTGCAAAACTTAAGATTCTGACAGCACAAGAAGCTTGTAGGAAGAATGTCAGACTGTGTTGGGATAACATGGCTTAGGAGGTTTGAATATGCAATTCAAATGACATTAACGGATAAAGGCAACAAGTAATAAGATGCTGAAACTGGTGGCTACAAAACACACGCACACACACATTATAAAAGGAAATCTTTTCTCTGTCTATAACAGGGAGTCCTCTGGTGCTTGCAGCCAGTCGGCTGTCTGTGCATACAAGCTGTCAGACATCAGCCAGGTGTTTGGTGGGAGGTTTCTGACGGAGACAGATTCTGGGAGCTGGGACATCTACACAGGAGGAGAGCCATTCTCCTACCCTGGTTCAGTAAGTGTCAAGCCAAGAAAGATTTAAATGTACTCATTAACAGAAGTGCTTATTTTTGGTTTAAATAAAAAAATAAACACCAAGCTAATAGCAGTGACTATCCTCTGTTTTTCTCTTGTACTCTTAGTGTATTAACGATGAAATGCGAGCCAAAGGTGTGATGAGCTCTCTGGACCTCTCAGACACGACTCTGGTGTTTGTGAAGAACCACCCTCTGATGGATGGGGTGGTCACACCAATAACTGGCAAACCTCTGCTAGTCCAGACACTGACACGCTTTTCCAAAATTGTCGTGGACCAAGTCACGTCACTGGATGGACAACAGCACCAGATCATGCTCATTGGCACAGGTTCTGGACCGCAGACAGGGGTCTATGCCAAATCACACAATGTACACTGACAGATGAGCCCTTTTTAGATTGACACTTTCTCCTTTAGACGCTGGCTGGCTGCAGAAGGCGGTGAGGTTTGATGGCGAGGATGGGCGCATCATCGAGGAGCTGCAGCTGTTTCAGGATCCTCAGCCTGTCGACTTCCTCCAACTGTCCTCCAAAACAGTAAGTTCACTTAACAGCAAATCCCAGCTGGTGAAATATCCTCACTTTATAGGACATGAGTTTAATGAACGACTCACATGATCTTTGATCAATAGTAACTTAAACAGCACTGTAGCGCGACAGCTGTAAACCCTGTCGTATTACAGGGCCAGCTGTACAGCGGCACCGATGACGCTGCAGTTCAAGTTGATTTAAGGGATTGTAGGCGTTACACATCATGTGATGACTGCCTGCTTGCAAGAGACCCATACTGCGGCTGGGACAAGAGCAGAGGTCAATGTGCATCTGTTGTTGGTGTATCAACCACGTCTATGTAAGTTCAATCACTTATCAAAACATATATTTCTGCCTCTGTCAAGGGCTGAAGCTTTATCCTTTTGGGTTGTTATTCTCATAAATACAATATCTGTTTAGTGCCTGGAGGGATTTTCTTCAAATCTGAATCAAATGTTCTCTTGGGCTTGAGGATGGATTGATTAGATCACTGTCACTGTGACTTCACAAAACATGTTTTTGGCTATAACTCAGGACTTCATGATCTTATTATGGCAAAGTTCCATGTAAAAGTCTAATATGATGTAAAGTGTTTACATCTGGACAGACATGGCTGGTTGGCAGAGACATAAAAGTCCAAGATGGTCATTCCAGTTCACCTTTGACGTGACTTGAGCTGCACACTGAAGGAGGTATTGCTCTTCTTGTAGGATTCAGAGTCTCAGTGATGGCGACATCAGGATGTGCCCACCTTCTGATTGTAAGTACCCCATTTGCTCTCTCAGTACAACCGAATGCAAGCTGACAAAAACAGGTCACACATATTAACTGTTTACTGTACTGCCATGTAGGTGTAAGAATAAAATCTTTACTGAGTGGGATGTTTGACATCAACAATGCGGTAGCAGGAGATGTGTTTGTTTACTCCCTCCCTCAGTGAAACAGACACCCACTGTTGTCCACTTCGCCATCGGCATAGCTCAGTTCCTCCCATGTTCCCCTGAGAATAACCTCCCAGTCAGCTGGCGCTTCTCTGACAGCGTCCTCCATGCCGGTCCCCGACACACTGTACTCAGCCAGGGTCTCATCATCACACCCTCCTTCTCTGACGCTGGCCTTTACACCTGTGAGACAGTGGAGACAGTGAAGGGCAGAGTGCACCGGACGACTGTGATCCAGTTCCTCGTTCAGCTTCAGGACACTCGCACCGTTGTCAGGAACCTGGAGGCGGCTGCCATCACCTTGGCTGCTTTTGCCAGCTTGCTGATAATGCTCATATGCGGTGCTCTTGTGATCAGGCACCTAGCGGAAAAAAAGCAAGGCCGTGTTGGTAGTGGCAACGAAAACTGTGATATGGAGGGATGTGTGCATCACAGTGGGATGCTGGCACAAAGCGAACTGTAGCAAAAGTAGCAGAGGAGGAGGTGGAGGCAGGCAACGATAACAACTGCACTATCACAGAAGGATCTCTTGGTTTTACTCTTTGTTTCATTGTACTGTGTTGCAAGTATAAATACAAATAACTATAGCCTTAAAGGTGTGATTACTGACTGCAGCCCAAGTACAGCAAACACAATCAGTGTGTGACCTCCTTGACTGTACACAATATCAAAGGAATAATTCTTTCACATTCAGCCCAGTTACCCAGCATCCTCTGCTGTTCTAACAAAACTTTACTTGCTCATATATGTTAATGGCTTTTTCTCACTGCATCTTAAAGTCACAGCAATGAAAGCCCACATGGAGGTAAACATATTAAGACCAGGTCCATTTAAATGTCTTAAATTAACTCAATATCAATGAGCAAGCATGTGCAGCAGCAAACTAAATGGTAAATGGACTGCACTTATATATCGCTTTGCTACCTTAGCGGCGCTCAAAGCGCTTTATAATGTTTCTCATTCACCCATTTACACACACATTCATACTCCAATGGCGACAGAGCTGCCATGCAAGGTGCTAGCCTGCCATTGGGAGCAACTTCGGGTTGAGTGTCTTGCCCAAGGACACTTCGACTGTGGAGGGGCTGAGGATCGAACCACCAACCAATCAGAGGACAACGGCTCTACCACCTGAGCCACAGCTGTCCAATTAAAAGAAACATCATACTTTCTAATTAATTGCACAAGACTTTCAAGTTGTGACATACACTTAAAGTGCAGGCCTGTTTTGCTCAGTAAGCATTATCAGGGCAGTAAGAAGCTTTTATTATAATTTCACAGAATTGTTGCAGGTGCAGGCCCACTTTATTTTACACTGAAAATCGATCAGGAATCAATAAGGGAATCGGACTGCTGAGCAGAATCAATATTTGTAGTGGTATAAATAACACATCAGTTTCCATCCCTATGCGTGTTACAGCTGGGAAGAGCTGCTGCAGATGTGTTTACAGCCGAAAGACGCATATTGTTTGGCGATCAGTCGATCAGTCGATCAGTTGATCACTTTACTGGCAGCACATTAAAAGCAGACTGAACCAGGAAGTACAGCCCAGAAAAAGATTCCCCATCATGATCTTTAGGCCTTCCAAAGTGTTTGCCAAAACATCACACGTAAAATGAAACTCCTTCATGCATCATTCTGATCAGAAAACAGCAACACAGCGCAGTAGAATCTAAGCAGGAGGGGCTTCACGACTCAGACTCAGGTAAAGAACATAATAAGAAGCAGTAGGAAGCAGGTGAGAAGGTCAAGAGGCTGGAGGAGCAGTCAGTAACTGGTGTGTGGAGGATGAGAGGACAGGTGTGGAATATCACGTTACTGCATCTCCAAGTCTTTCTAACAATAACGGTGCTCAAATCAGCAAATCCTCCGTCCATAGTTTTCCCCACACTGACGCGCACACGCTATCAGCTACAATAACATCCGACAGCGCATAAATATCCTGCAGAAAAACCGCGCACACAGAAGAACAGCATGCAGGACGCCGTGCCAACAATGATAGATCTCACTCTTTCCACGAATGCTGGTCGTGAGCCTTTCAGATGTTCCGCGGCTCACTAGATGGCAGCACGGGATGCGTGTGGAGAGGCTGCATGTGTGTTTTTATCAGCAGTCACGGAGAAAATGTGGGAGGAAAAAGGCACAACATTAGTTTTTTTAAGTGGCCTTGAACTGAGCTGTGTGGTAATGGCGTAATTAGTTCTCAGGGGAACGAATGAGCTCTCCGACTGTCTGCTGGTTCTCTCTTTCTGCTCTCCTCCCGTGTGCCTTTCTCTTCCTCGGTACGTTTTCTTTTCCCTCTTCCTCTTTTTTTTGCCCCTTGTAGTCTCCCCCCCTGTCTCGAAGGCAGAGCTGTGACTGGAATAGCTGCTCCTTCCTTTGGGAGCATTTTGTGGAAAGTCAACTGACATGCCTTAGAATAAACGGAATACAAACAAGGGGCAGCAGCTTTTAATTAGAATAAACTGAGTGGATGTGATTCAAAAGCTACGCTAAATACACAATAAAATGACACAGGACTTTATATGCACTTTGCGGCATTACGTTTATGTGTACGTACTAACCAGCTTGATCTAGTTTTGTACTCCAGAGTCTGCAGGCATGTTGGGATGCAGGATTCAGTCAGTACAGGCTGTGAAAGCAGATACTTACAGAGAAATAATAAGAAAGAACCTGCAGCTAATAGTCACCATCTTTAAATGTGTCCAATTATGTGCTTTAAAAAAAAAAGATCATGAAATATGAAAGGCTTCCTGCACTCGACAGAATATTATTTTGGCTCAACAAAATTATAATTAAAACCAGGAGTTTACATACACTGTATAAAAAGACATATAACTAATACCTATGTGACATTAAATGTGACTAAACTTTTCCTGTTTTAGGTCAGTTAGGAGTCCCAAAATTATTTCTGTTTGCTAAATGCCAGAATAATGAGAATTTTTAGGAGAATTTTTTTTATTGCTTTCTTCAAAGTCAGAAGTTTACATACACTAAGATGACTATGCCTTCGAACTATTTGGGAAAGCCCAGATGATGATGTCATGCCTTTGGAAGCTTTTGATAGGTTGATCGACAACAGTTGAGTTAATTGGAGGCACATCTGTGGAACATTTAGTCTGATTTAATGTAAGTTCAGACAACTTGTTCGACCAACAAACTACATTGAGTCGAGGGAATTAGCTAGTCCTCTATATGTTTTTAAAGGGAGCACGGAGAGAAGGAGGAGGGAGGGTGGAGAAGGGAAAGGGTGAGAAGAAGGATGGGTGGAGGAAAGGGGGAGACAGAGGGAGCTACTGTGGTCCAGGTTGCTCTGGACAACCAGCAGCCTCCTCCACCTTCTGGTTGTGGTCACTATTCAGTGCAACCTGCTCCACAAACTCTTTTTCGCCACCTTCTTCTTTTGTTTCCTCTCTATCTTCTCCCAGTTTTGTTTCTTCCTCGTCTCCTTCTTCTTTGCCTTTTCTTTTCCTTCTTTTCTTCATTCATTCTGAGCTGCTCCTTCAGCTGATCCAGTTTTTTGTCCTTCACCTTGTTGAACTTGGTGAATTTCTGCCTCTCGGCCTCCAGCAGTTTTCTCAGACCTCTGACAAGAATCTCCCTGTTCTCCATCATCCCTAATACAGGCGCTCGTTACATTACATTCTCAAACTGCTCTTTCAGCTGCTTGCTTTCTGCCTTTTAGCGACTCGTTGGTCAGGTTTTGGTTATCGCCACGGCGACGGGTGCTGACAGATGCTCCTCTGTGTTGCTGCTTGTTTTGTTTCTGGGCTCAACAAAGACACTCCACACAACTGAAGACTGTTGGTACTGTAGTCAACGGTAGTTCGTGTCGAGGTTTTTTGTTGTCGGTGGAAGACTACAGTTCTTTGTCGTTCTTGACTGTAGATGTCTCTGTGACGTAAATACGTGTCGCCTCAAGAAGATATCACTCGCTGCTCGCTGTCAGACTAACTGGAAAAGATTAGAGATCAGCCTGGAGTAGCTAACAGCTGCTGCAGGAACCCACAGCATGGATTTGAACTTATTTCTTATATCTGTGATGAAAAGTGGCAGGTGTACTGCTTTTCAGAATCTGAAAAATACATATAAAATACTTATCTTTTTGCTTCTGTAAAATATACAAAAAATGTAGTGCATGCCAAATCCTTAAGTTAAAGTCCAGATATGCAATCAGCAAAAACATTAAAAAAAAAAAAAAAAAAAAAAGACTTCTCTTTAATAAATGTGCCATTAAAAGCTTGTTAATGCTGATGCACTGAAGCATACTCAGCAGTTAAATGTAGCTGGCTGAAGTGGAGCTGATCTTAACCACTGCTCACTGTTTAGTGGTCCAGAGGTTCCCAACCCTGGGGTCTGACCCCTCCTGAGGGTCACA